TGTTAGGAATCAGAGATCAGAGGCGGTCAAGCGGAAGCGAACAAACACACACACACAAATAGCAGAAAATAAGAACACGAGATTTAACGTGGTTCGGTCAGTAACCTCCACGGGTTGCAGCTAGGGTTTATCTTTTATTAGGTGCTCACAGATTATAGTTACATGATTGGGTATTTATAAGATATAAACTAGGGTTAACAACTTGCTAAACAAGAAACAACTAATGGGCCCTTTAATTAATAACTAAAACCGGCCCCCCATGTTTCTTCCCTTTAGCCGACCAGGCTTAAAGCCCACAGCTCTAAAGCCTTCACCGAATAACCCAACACATTGTGTTGGGGGGAACCAAACAATTGGATTGGGGATTGTTGGCAAGCTGTTTTCACCTTCGAATATAACCTTACCATATGCTCAACAACCAAAAAATAATCTTCTCAATTTTTTTTATCATATGACCCGTAATTACAACACATTATATTCTGTCTAGAAGAAACTGAAGTACTATAGTAATATAGGGAGCAAAGGAAAAACATTACACTATTATATTCTGTCTAGAAGAAACTGAAGTAATATACTAATATAGGGAGGAAAGGAAAAACATTACATAGTGTAATTATAATGATGAACACTTTTTAAATACTTTGTATGTCATTACAAATTTAAAATTCATTCCTAATTCGTAAATGTAATTACTTTGATAAACAGTTTATTCTTTATGGTCTTCACATCACTCTTCGTGCTCCCTCTTTATCTCATCAACTTCTTGTTCCACTTCCTTGGTATGTTTACGCACTTTAAAGATATATTTCTTTAAATTTTATTGAAAACAGATTTTGTATGTAGTTCTAGAAATGTAATGTCAAAATTATTTGCTAAGAATTACAATTCTTTATAAGCATTTCTAACTTTTCGATATAGATATCTGTAAAGACACTTAGTACTAAAAGAACCTCTGTTCTCTTATTTGGTAGCCACATTTAAAAAAAAACTTGGATTTACTAAATTTAATACATACCTTTCTTATTACATGATGCATAACATTACTCAACACTTGGGTGTATTCTTAAGTTATTAAAGATTCAATGGAAATTGGATCCTCATCTACTCAACCAGTCGCCGAGGGTAATTGACGTGAACAAACAAACTTTAGCCGTCGGCTTAGATATCATGAGTTACGTGAACAAGAAAAAAACACGGGTTCAGCGACTACTCAACGCTCCAAATTCTCCGGCACCTGTTCTACTAATAAAGGTCTTCCATTTAATTCATTTATGATATACATTATAACCTCATGTTTGCTTTCTATGACATTGGCTAATTTTTTTCTTCTTTTCCTAACTGTCCTCTCCAAAAAAAACTATTACCCTTCCAATACATACACCAACACATTCAACTATTGTGATTCCTATATTCTTGACATTCCTCTACCCACAACTATCAATCCTGTTTCGACAGATTCATCAACGCTATAAGCATATCGTGAATCACCTTTTTCTTTAAAGAGGGTATTAGACTGCATATTTTGTGGTGCAAGTCGCATCGAGTTTGAGCCTTTGGGGTTTTGTTGTTGTCGAGGTGAGGTCATTCTTGCATCCACTCAGATGCCCATTGCGTTAAAAGACTTATTCATTGGGAGTGACGTTAAAGCAAAGCAATTTCAGTCTCTTGTTCGTACATACAACAACACATTTGCATTCACCTCAATCGGTATATATAATTAGGACAAGGATTTGTGCAAAAGGAACAAAGGAATCTACACTTTTAAGGTGCAGGGACAAATATGTCATTTCGTGAATGACTTGTTGCCAACTGGATCTCCACCTCGAAATTTATAGCTATATCTTTTTTGACACCGATCACCAAGTTAAAAATAGGACACAGACAACAGATAGATTGGATAAAGAGATAGTATCAGCTCTTGTTGAATTGATCTCAGATAATCCATACGCTCAGTTTTTTAAGAGTCTCAAAGATGTATGTAACGATGCGGAGTTTAGTATACAACTACACAACCATCCAGGTTTAAATCAACGAGTCTATAATACTCCTACTGCGTCACAAATTGCTGCAATATGGGTAGAAGATAGGAACAACGGAACTCAGGAAACCAAACACAATCGTGTTTATGGTCACACTGGAAAATCACAGAACATACAATACTTCTACGGTTGTTATGATCCTTTACAATATCCACTATTGTTTGCTCATGGGGAGGTAGGTTGGCATACAGGGATTGATAGGGTATTGTCAGAAGCGTAACGTCATTTAGCAAAAACCAAACAAATACCTTGTGTGATGTCGAATGTTAACCTTGCACACACCGCTGACGATGTAATTCGGATTGAAGAAAATAATATTCAAACTGGAAGGAAGAGAAACACGGTTTCGTGTAGGGAATATTATGCTTATAAATTCCAAATACGCCAGGATGACAATAGCTATTTGTTACATACAGGAAGGTTACAACAATTTATTGTTGATGTCTACGTCAAAATTGAATCACGACGTTTGGATTATTATAGACTTATACAACTTGATCTCAGATCTGAAACATATCAAGGCGTTGTGGATAGCATGTATACTGGTATGGTATACGGTGAGGATGTTGGCCAACGTGTCATTCTACCAGCTTCATTCATAGGTGGTCCTCGAGATATGCGTAAACGTTATCTTGATGCTATGGCAATTGTTCAACAATATAGCAAACCTGATCTCTTTGTTCACACACCGCTGACGATGTAATTCGAATTGAAGAAAATAATATTCAAACTGGAAGGAAGAGAAAAACGGTTTCGTGTATGGAATATTATGCTTATAACCGATGTAACCACGTCTATATACACTTGTCAAAAAACATATGATGCACGGCCCTTACGGCGCTCTTAACCGAAGTTGTCATGACAAAAAAAGGACAGTCAACCGCTTCTTGTAGAAGCAAATACCCAAGATCTTTGAGTGATGAAACATCGTTTGGAGAAGATTCGTTTCCTATTTACCGTAGAAGGAAGAACACAAATACTATAGAAATAAGGGGGTGTGCACTTGATAACTCCTGGGTAGTACCCTACAACCCACAACTCTTATTAAAATATGACTGCCACATTAATGTTGAAATTTGTGCTTCGGTCAGATTTGTTAAGTACATATATAAGTATGTTTACAAAGGGCATGACAGAATTTCTGTTGGCATCTCCAACAATAAAAACACTTCTGAACATGACGAGACTGCAGACTTTCAAAATGCAAGACGAGTTTTTGCACTAGAGGCGACGTGGAGAATATTTGCTTTTCCGATTGCCGAAATGCATCCCCCAGTTTTACAATTACAGGTGCATTTAGAAAACTTTCAGTATATCAACTTCTTCGGAAACCAAAAAATCACGAAGATTGTGAAAGACGATAATAAGTCTAGCACAATGCTCACTAAGTTCTTTGAAATGAACACATGCGACATTGTTGCGAAAAGACTTCAATTACTTTACATACAATTCCCTGAATATTTTGTTTGGTCAGAAACAAACAAAATATGGACGCAGCGGAAGCGTAAAACTGTGATAGGACGAATTGTCAGCGTAAATCCAACAGAAGGAAAAAGATATTACCTCCGCATCCTACTCCAACATGTCAAAGCTCCAACATCATTTAACAGAGAGTCGTCGATGGTCACATGTTCTCCACATTTTGAGAGAGTGCTGAAAGAATGGGACTTTTAACAGAAAATGCTACAATTGATGTTTGTCTTGAAGAGGCAATCACATATCAAATGCCCAGTAGCTTAAGGAGATTGTTTGCTTCGTTATTGGTCTTTTGCGAGGTTCCTAATCCAAGAGAACTATGGTCTAAATACAAATCTCACTTATATGAAGACTTTTCTCAGACAGGTTTCTACACTCCAATAGAAATGGAAATGATTGTACTAAGACTTATTGGAGACATAACTGAAAGTCTTGGAAAGAGCATTGTTACATTCCATTTTAATGGACTCTACCATGTTCTTAACTACCACTGAATTTCAGGCACCCAAATTGAGCTCAGAGCGCCCAACTTCTCAACAAAGAACAAAAAGCTGCTTTTGACTCCATTACGGAAAGCGTAATTTTTAACAAAAGCGTGGTTTTCTTCGTAGACGGTCATGGTGGTACAGGAAAAACATTTCTGTACAGAGCTTTGTAAGCAACAGTTCGGAGCAAAAAAAGGATAGCTTTAGCTACTGCAACATCAGGTGCTGCTTCAATTCTTCCAAGAGGTCGCACTGCACATTCTAGATTTAAATTGCCGCTCGATGGAAATGATAGAAACACTTGTAAGCAAAGTGCGACAACTACATTACTAAGAGAGGCACGGATTATCATATGGGATGAGGTTACAATGGCTAACCGAAGCATTGAATGCAAGTCTCAAAGATATTATGTGCTCAGAGGAAGTCTTTGGAGGAAAAACCATTGTTTTTGGTGGAGATTTATGCCAAACTCTCCATGTTGTTAGGCATGGAAACAAACAAGACTCTATTAATGCAATGCATTGTTAAATTCTCTTATATTTGGGCAAAAATGAAACGTCTCATTTTAGTACAAAATATACGAGCACAATCTGATCCATTTTTTTGCGAATATCTAATGACGATTGGAAATGGAACAACGCAGACTCTTGATGGTACAAACATTGAGATCCCAGAACAATTCCTTATTCATGTCGCTCATGCTTCGAACCCATTGTCGTCACTAATAGCAGCAGTTTACCCAAAGCTGAGTCTTTTTCAACAAGATCCATACACATTGATGTGTAGAATAATTCTAACCACCACAAATGACTACGTGGATGAAATAAACGCAATCCTCATTGCTACATTCCCTGGACAATCAAAAACATTGCTAAGCTATGATGAGGCGCTCAATCCTAAGTACAAAAGTTGCCAAGACTTCCTACACACATTGTCATTTGCAGGTTTGCCTCCCCACACATTGTCATTTGCAGGTTTTCTAAGTTCTCATTTTCCATTTTAGCTCGTGTACTACTTTTAGGCGCTCAATCATAGACCAAGAGTATGTTCCACTACTAATTCTATCAAATCTTCTATTGTTTTGAAATTACATACATTTTCCAAACCAATCTTAATAATATTTCCAATGCTTTTAACTGTACCCCTTTTAGAATCCATTCACATTTTTATACGTTACACTCATTGTCACTTAATCCATCATCTTCACAATGCTAATAAAACTCAAACCCAGGAACACATTTGTAATGCCTGCACTCGTTTGTGCTGGGGGTAAGAAGGTTCGGTGTCTAGGCAGTCATGCTTGCGGTGTGTTTTGACATTACATTTTAAATAGAGGCCGATACTTATTATTTTAGAGTCACATATTTGTTCCTGGCTTTGGAGTTTTTTTTGCCCCCTTCATATGCTTTCATACTTGAGGGTATGGTGTTGTTACTAATGAATAATGATGGACCAAAATGAAAGCAGAGACACACTGGTTTACAAATGAAGCTGCGTTTATCTGAAGAGATTATAATTCAGAGAAGTAAACAAGAGAAATGAGACGCATAAGAAAGACGCGTAAGAGAATTAGAGAGAAGAATTACCTGGGTAAAGTGAAGGAGAAGAAAACTTGGAGAAACAAGAGTCCATGAATTATTTATTATTAAGGTGAGGAAGCAGCCAGGGATGGTGGGGCGGTATTTGATTAGTATATGTATCCTACCAAAAAAATGACTACTTTTGGTTCCCCCCAATGGTCCTTTAGGGGTAGTTTCCACCGCCTCATTTGCTCCACTTCCACGTATTGGGCTCGGTTCAACAAATTCTCTGTCCTCCCATAGTTTTGAAGTAAAATGAGACCAATACTCATACTCATCGTGTGTGTGTGCCCAACTTTGTTACATTTCTTTATTCATAGGGGTGGTGGTTTACATATATGTCAAGAAGGTGTTCATGGAAACTGCTTTCGTATTACTTCTAACTTATTTGAACCGAGTCAACTAAAACGTTGTTGTATAGATAGGGATTTGGTTCCATTTTAGCTCCAACACTACATGCCATCAATTGGTTTATTTCCTTTTATCTTCTTCATCTCTGCCTAATTGGTCTTGGAGTTTTTGTTCTCATTAAAGTTGGATTGTTTGTCAAACCTCAAAGGCATAAGAGCCATGTAAACAACACAATGCTTTGGTTCCCCCCAATGGGATTCAAGGAGCATAGTTTTGAAGTAAAATGAGACCAAGTGGTTTATTTTCTTTTATCTTCTTCATCTCTGCCTAATTGGTCTTGGAGTTTTTATTCTCAAAAGTTGGATTGTTTTTCAAACCTCAAAGGCATATGAATAGCCATGTAAACAACACAATGGTTTCAATGGGAAATCTGACAACTAAGAAAACAGATAGAGAAACACGATTTTCAATATGGGACAATGTGTGTGAAAGGTCTAAAATCTTTTAATTTTCAGTTAACAACAGATACTGTCTGTGCATGTTTGTGAGATCCTTCTATCTATTCTCTATTGCCCATCTGATTTTTTGCTTATTTGACCTACTACACGACTGACAAGTCAAATTTTAAAAATATTTTGGCATGCTTATTTGTAATATTGTTCTCACCTTTGACTTCATTCATACTCATATAGTGAATACTGCCTCCGCACACTGATTGGAGGGCGACGGCCTCCAGTCGTGATCCCATCATCTTATATGTGCCTTTAATGAAACCTAAGTGGTCAGTATGGATTATTACATACAGTTTCTTAGAAACTAGTTATGACAATTTATCTAAAAAATTTCTTAGTGGTCAGTAGTAATTTTACTCCAACCCTTATTTCTTGCCTTATGCAAACATACCATATTTATCTCCTAGGTAATGATAGCTTTCACATACCATTAGGAGTTCGTTTATGAGGCAGCTGCATTCTAGGCCTTGAAAACAGAATTCGTATGCACTGCCTCTTAATTATCAATCCTTGGTTAAAGTACTTGTACTGGTACGCTAACATTCACCCTCAATATATTCCCCCTTTGAAACATCTATTTTCAGTCCCCACCGTGACTACCACATGGAGAAGGACAGAACACGATGATTCAATCATTCCTTACGGTCTCCTCTGGCAGTGGTAATATAACTCCTAACCACTCACTGACCCCCTCCCCAAAGAAAGGGAGGGTGGTGTGGGGTTGAGATAGGATTTCCATTTGGGTGAGACTCTAACGAGGCTCAGGTGCAGACCCAACCACTGTGGACCGAGACTACGCAAACGTAGAAGACCATACAAACATCACTCACTTTATCATAAACCTTGATTTCACTACACAATAAGAATTAAGAACCCAAAGTAACGTAAACTGGTTCCTGTCCCGCTTCCAAAATGTCAGTCGTATTTGCCCAAATGTGAACTGGAGACAACTCTCCAGTGGTTCCATTCCTTCTTACTGTACACTTCCCCAATTATATACACAGTATACGTATATTCACACACTCGCCCACACAATAATAAATTCACAAGTGAAAGGTAGTACGTAGCCAGAGAGTATAAATTGATAGCAATCTTACACGTTACGCTTTGAACTTTGGAAGCCTATCCCCAACCCTTTTCTGCATTATTTTTGGTTACTCTACATAAACTCATGGATGTAAGAACCTGTGTGGGTTATTAAATAATATCATCATATAAGTATGTAATATCTATATAACTAAAAAAATTATGTACTTCTTTGGCGCTTTATTCCATATACTTTAGTCTTAATCTTTTAAAAATCGTATGAAAATAAACTTTTACTTAAACATACAATATACCCATCCCACATGAAACTCTTTGGCTCTTTGACATATGTCTACAAACTTTAACTTCTACCTACATACTTTATGCTTTCACACGCCATTGACAATGTTCTGATCATGCAGATGCAAGCCAATCACTCTAACAATGTGGGACAAATTCGCAAGCATTCAGGGCATTGAAATCGAAAAGGCACTCGAATCAGGTACTTATCCAACAATACTCACAAAGAGGATACTGGCGACTTCCTTCCAAGGTAAACCCCACCTTTGTTATGCACACAAATACTCCTCTATCAAATTTAGTCTTTTTCCACTTCTTAGTTTTGGTTTGTTTTCAAGCTTACTGCATTTTTATATATACAGATTTGTTTATGGCACTTATAGTATCCTTTTTAAAATCTTAATGTACAACTGCTTCAATTAAATTCTCTTTGTTATCTACTCCCAAATGAGAACTGGGGGTTTGCTTGGGCTTCCTCCATCTGAGGAACTCCTGTTTTTTTTGGTTAAGATTTGAGTGATGTGTTTAAAAATCTGATTCTCTATTACATACACAAACAGGACTGTCACTAACAACGCGTCACGATTCATCAATCGAACTGAACCCTACCATATCTCTTGCGACATCTCTAGAAGAGTGGTACGCATATTTATATATTCTTACAATTAATTACTTTTTAAAATTACTCCTATAACCAAATATATGCAATCCAGGAAATGTTCAAATGCTATCACAATACGGCATGCCTTGGAGAAAAAACAATTTGAAGAACCTTTATCTGTTTTTGTAAGTAATAAGCATATCGGACCTCATCAACACAACAAATCAGGTTCTACACACATTTCTTCAATACTCATCTTT